CACTGATACCTGGAGAGAGGGTGGACTGCATTTCCTTCCATATTATGTACTGGATAGGACCTTTGAACTGGCCCAGGCTCAGCTTTCTGGAGATAAGTTCTCTGGGTGCCAGCACCCTCATTCCTTGCTCCAAGCTGCAGGGGACATAAATCATTTACCCTTAGACATCTCAAAGGACTGAAGGGAGGGTGTTAAGAATACCATAGGGAAACACTTACCTCTCCAAGAGAGTTGTGATGTCCTAGAAGAGGAATAGAGAAGTCAGATGCCTGTTCATCAACTCTAGAAATTTCTTGGGTAATATTGGCCACCACCAGAATTTGATCAATGGGCCCCATCCCATTTCCAGTAACTCCTCTCATCCTTTGTATGCCTTTCTTTTCTGTATGGGAACACCTTGTATCCCCAGTCTAGCACAGGATTGATTTCTGATTGCTAAGAGCCAATCAGTGATACAACTCTGGTTGCAATATTCTTATTTTTAACCCTTTGGTAACTCAATTATTTTCTGCTTTGAATTTTTTGTTGATACCATGGGTTTTCTTTAATGGAAACATTCTGAATCACTGAGTGTATCTAAATTTTTGGTAGGTAGTATGGTTTTTTTTTTCCTTACCCCTTCTACAAGCCTAACCTAGTGTTTAGTTTATGAAGTACCACTAATTGTACCCCAGAATCCCCACCAGGAACTGTTGGTACATCTGTGTAACAAATAAAAATTTTCAAAATTTCTATTTTTCCTTCCAAAAATTCAGACACCTCATACAGTACCCTGTAAAAACAGTAATTTGTGGCACACGCCTGTTTCTTCGGTTTCAAACAGTCATAAAGGCCCCTGCCTTGTGGCAGCACACACTGTCAATGGTGCAGCAGCTTCCCAATGAGCCCCAGAGGCTGAAAAAGCTCATGGTTGCTATATGTACCACCAGGCACAAAAGGGTTTAAGAAATAAAGCTTCAATAGTCTTTACAGAAAAATATTAAAATAATGTATACAGGCAGTCCCCGACTTACAACAGGGTTCTCTTCTGACAACTCCATAGTAAGTTTTGACCTAAGTCAAATACCTCTTTTCTTTTTTTTAAGTTTTCATTATTATTGCTTTTTATTATCAGTATCTTTATAAATCTGATTTTTATTTGTTTTTGGGAGTTGGCATGAGAATGATAACATCAGCAAATTACTTGCTGCAACATTGTATGCAGTACATATTACTAACAATAAGATGTGTAAAAAAAAACAATCGACAGTCCTAAGTGTAGTTCGTAGTAACTCGAATACGTTATAAGTTGGGGTATACCTGCATTATTATTAATGGATTTTATTATCTTCTTCTCTAGGAGGGTCAAAGTAAAGCTTTCTACTGAGCATAATGCAAAATGAGCCTCCTACTTTCCTCCCAGGGACTAGTAAAACCACAACAGGAGTTGGTTTTTACCCCTAGCTTTAGCACTGCATTGAAAAGCCAGTTCTACATTCTTTCCAACCCCCTTTTCCACTTAAGTATACCCATAGTCATGCTGCTACTGGACCTCACTTTGAGAAATTCGAAGGCGTTCTGCTGTTCCATCCGGGCCTGGATGCTCACCAACATCTCCTTGGTTAGGAGACACTGCTCCTGAAGTTGGTTCAGATTCTGCTCCATCTCCTCATTCAGGGCTTTCCCCTCTTCTCGAAGCTCATTTAAAACCTCCTTTTCTTTGCTGTGCAGGAACTGATGCAGCTTTAGAAACTCCAGAGAGATGTGTTGCTGCAGATGTAGCTTGTTTTCCTGGAAACCTCCATGATCATCACCATGGTAATTATTGAGACTAGCATTTCGGGATGGGGGCCCACACCACCAACACTCACACAACTTGGGAAATACCATAAGGGAAAAATGCATACAAATGGCTGTTGAGTATCAACAGTCAACCATTCTAAAAGGATCCCTTTGGGGGACTTCCTCTTATTTCCCAGCAGTTTAACAATTCAGGGTGAAATAGTCAACAGTGGTCTCTAGGTTCCTATTGCAGTACTGAGGTGGTAACCAATGCCATATTAAATACGGCAACGATGTGAAACACGTGAAAATGTTCACTACAGATTAGTAAGTAAACACAGTAAAGCCTGTGCATACCTTGCTTACTGGTTAATCCACCCCTGCCTCCTACCCAGAAGTACAAACAAATTATCTACCAAGTAGTGCTCCTTAACCTGGGGCCATAAGGAGACTTGAAGAACTGTCCTGATCTAGAAATCAGAACGAGGGGAATGCCACTTCTGCTGCCAGGACAATATAGAAGTAGCAGAGATGAGCAATGTTCAGTGCACTGAAATAGATAACTGCTACTCTTGCGGCTCTTTTCTTGGATAACTCAACATCCTCCTTAGTGAGCCATCTGACATCTTGGCTTCGCACTTCCTCATCTTCCTCATCTCTAATGATTTCCACCTTTAGTCACACATTCCCATAGTCACATCTTGGATTTTATCATTCCCAGCAGCTGCACAATCTCCAGAATAACATATTATGCTCCAAGCCCGCTTGCCCAAGTACCCTCATTGGAACAATTATTAGATCTCATTGAAACCTCCTATTCATTGACCCTTTCATTTCTTTTTACCTGCTTCTTCTGTCTCCAAATCCCCTCTTATCCAGCTTGGATTCCATGGTCTGTCATTATAATTGCACTCTTGAAATAGTCTTAAATCCCCCTCTCCTGTAGCTCACACTTTTCTGGCTTCTCTCCTACCTTTGTCACCACTATTTCTAGTCTTATTTGTTGGTTCCATCTCTTCTACAGGCTCTAAATATTACTTGATGTTCTGTCCTGGGCTCTTTCCCCTTGTCATGCTATATTCTCTTTCTCATCAATATCTTGTGCTCCCATGGCATTAAATGCCATCTATATGCAGACTTTTTATCTCCAGCCTAGACCAACTTCTGAGCTCCAGATTTCTATAGGCAACTGGCTGTTTGACATCTCTGCTCACCCCTCTCATCTAATCAATCACTATGTTCAGGGTATTTATCTCCAAAGCACATGAAGAAGCTGTTTGTTGCTCTCCATATCCACTGCCTCTTTAGTCTGTGCCACCATCATCATTCTCTGGGACCACTGCAGTAGCCTTCTAACCATTGTCCTTATCATTGCCCCTCTCCAATTCATTCTCCACAGAGCTAGCAAAGTGATATTTTCAAAATGAGATGAAACCATGTCCTTCTTTAATGGCTTTTCATTATTCACAGCTTAAGTCTGAAATTCTCAACATTATCTACAAGGGCCAATTTCATCTCATTCACCATGTTCCAGCTTTATTGGCTTTCTGTCTGTTTTTTTAATACAGCAACTAACTTCCTGTCTTAGGGCTTTTCCTACAACAGTCTTCTCCAGGCTACCTCCTTCCTGTTCCCTTCACCCAGTTCACTTGATTAAGGTACTTAGCTTTCAGTTCTCAATTTTTAAAAGCAGACTTCTTCAGGGACCATCCTCACCCCTAGTCTAGATTAGGTTCTCCATTTATATGCTCTCATAGCACTCTATCTATATTTTCCTTTGAGGTACTTATCACAGTTGTTACTTTATTGTTATTTGTGGGATTATTTAGTATGTCTCCCACCCCCAACACCTAATATAATGCCTGACCCACTCAATAAATATTTGTTAAATGAATAAATGTTGACTGTGATAGCTGAACTAGGAACTCTTAAGACAGCACCGAGGTTCTTTGGAGACATCATTACTTCCATTTATCCTTCTTACCGTCACTCCACATACTTCTTCTTCCAGGTGGTGAATGCCAGAGAAGTCTCCTCCGTAAAATAATTAATGAAGAAACAAAACTCCCCATTTAGACTTCCCAACCTAGAGGCTGATTTGCCAAATCTCTAACCATTAATGTTGTCCTAGAGCTCCTGCTAAAGTTGAAAGTTAGGTAATAGCTTTATGCAGTTTGGGGGCAGCTACAAAAAAATCAAATCATATGGGAAAAGCCAGCAACCTGAGAGACCTTGGTCCATAGGTAGCCTAGTTGTAAACTCAAAGGAAAAAAATGTATTTTTTAGTGGAGTTTTGGGTAAGTTCTTTATATTGGCATAGATAAAAGGGAGAGGCCAGACAGATCACAACCCCACAACTATCTCCTAGTAATTGAACCATCAAAGGGATCAGCATGTTAGGATAAAGGTCAATTTGTTCTCTCTGTGTGGATCAACGATTGGGAACCTATTCCACTTCCACATTCCTTCCCACCCTACAGTGTCAGTTTTCTAGTTCTGTAGCTCAGGTGCGTGAGGAAATGTATTTCGTGAGATTGATAAAATACGTATATCCACCTTTCCATCCAGCTAGTTGAGCTTATAAGGAGATGTATTCCAGTTCTATTCATAACCACTCTCCCCTGCCCCTCACCTTGTTCGCAGCAATAGCATCTTTCTGCACATTCCTCAGGGACTGAAGCTCCTTCAGGGTTGCCTCCAGTTGACCCTGACGGACTGTAAGCTCCTCCTGGGAATACCAAGTATAATTAACTCGCAACCCACTTGGGAGATGAAGGGCCCTAAGAGTGATTCATAAAGAGTATGACCCCCAAACCCCAGTGTGCCAGAAAACAGCGGAGCTCTTTCCAGAAGAGTCTTTCCCTTTCCCTGTATCATAATTCCTGTCTCTTTCAAGAATTAAGAAAACTACAAACAGTAGAAAATTTTAGTTTTGCCCGCTTATTACTAGCTACAGGGGTTTGAAGAAGGTAATGGAACTATATACATTTCCCACTGTAGTCATGCTGTTCTCACCATCTATACTTTTACATTGTTCTCTTCACTTGGAACACTCCTTTCTTCCTTTTGCCCATCCAAATCCAAATGATTTCCTGGTTCAGGTCCTGCCCATGTCTTTTACCATGCGTCCCCTGACTATTTCAGCTTTTGCTAATCTTCTCTGAAATTTTAAACACTTATGAATTACAAATGTGACAATATTTTGCTCTCAATAGTATACTATCATATATTCGATCTATTGTGTTATTCGTTTTAAACTTGACTAAGTTTTGAGAATAAGAGCAATATCTTCTTATACATCCATGTTCTCACAGTGCCTAGTAGAGTGTGTTCATGGTAGGATTTAGGTAAATATTTAATTGACTGAGGGAGTAGGCCATAGTTCCTCCACTACCCCTTTCCTATAAGCAGCAACTCTGGGGAAAGAACTTTGCAAGATCTGTTGTATTTTCTGAACACTGTGAGCTTTCTAATCATCATTTGAATAAAGGGGTGGAGGTGGAAGAGAGAAGAAGCCCTACAAAAGACTTTTCCCAGCTTTCCCAAGGATTGCTCAAGGGCCAGGGCTCACGCACCGTGAAGAAACGGACAGCATCAGAGATCTGCAGGAACTCCTTAGACTGCCCCACAGGCAACCGAGCATCCTTGCATTGGAAGCAGATCAGTTTCCCATCCAGCTTACTGAACAGTTTCAGGTTCTCGCCATGTTCTGGGCACTGTGGATGGCCCTTGAGTAGGGGTAGCTTCTTAATCTTCTCTACCAGCTTCTCCACTACAATGTTGAATGTACAGTTGCTATATTGACATAGCATCTTACACTCAGGACAGAAGGTCTCCTTTGCTTGCTGCTTCCAAAAGTTTTGGATACAGACCTGGCAGAAGTTGTGGCCACAGCTTAGCATCAGTGGATCACGGAACCAGTCATGACATAGTGGGCAGTGTAGCTCCTTAGTGATATCTTGTATCTGCACTTTAGAGGGTATCTGGGTTATTGTATCATTGATTTCAACATAGCTGCCTGAATCCATGGTGGAGGATACCTTTAGAAAGGAACAGCTAAAATGAGTTTCACTTTCTTGCTGCCCACTTCAGCATTCCAGTATCATGGGCTCCATTCCTAAAGAAACTGAAACTTGGAGCAGCCAGAGTAAAGTTTCTAGCATTATAGTTTACTACTACTCCCAACACTATTTAAATTTCAGCAGAGAACCCAGGCATGGGAAGAACGAGTACTCAAAGGAATATTTTTTGTCCCTCCCTCTTCCCACTTTCCCCAGTATCAGTTGAAAGTTTTACTTCCAACTTCTGTTCTACTAGTCATTACCCTTATTTTTGTTTTCTAGAAATCATGTATTCACAACTGGAATTTCAGATTTCCCAGTCAGTGTCATAATATAATATCATTAACCGTCCATTTCTCCTAGCATACACCATGTATTCTGACCCTCTCTTGGGTGCTAAAGCTAACAGGCAGTGATCCTGAGGCATAAAAATGGGGACTTAGATGAGGCTTTTCCAAGTAGGAGAATAATTTGTATGATGGTAATTTGTATGATGGAGATAAGTATATTTTGGAGGAGCATAATAAATGAACCCCTGGCCCTTGACTAGGGGGGTGTGGTCAGGGGAAAATTGTAGGAGGGAAGTCTAAGATGGGACTTGAAAGATCAGACTTAGGCATATAAAAGTGAGGAAGATTGTTATGGGAAAAAAAAGAAATACTAAATGTACACATACTATTTTATAATTTCTATATCATCTTCCTCTGAAAGCTGAAAAACTTAAAACAGATACAGACAGAAGAATCATTCAGAAGCAGAATCCCTGAGGGCTGGTCCAGGGCTTACTATTCTGCTTTTGAGTGGGAAACTGAAGCTCAGAGTTTTATGAACTTCCTCTGACACTCAAGTCAGTAGTAGAATCGGGAATTCAGAAAATTCTAACCCTAAGGCCAGAGCTGTCTCCATCTGCTGTACATCTCTTTGAGAGTTGAGCACATGTAGTCCCCGACTTATCTGAGTTATGATGAACCGTACTTACAACCATCCTTTTTTCTTTTTTAATACCTTACCATTAGTAATAGGTACTATGTACAATGTTGCAGCACGTGATTTACTGATTCTCATGCCAACCCCCAAAGACAGACGAAGTTCAGATTTATAAAGATACTGATAATAAAAGACAATGTAAAGATACACTGATAATAAAAGACAATAATAATGAAAACTAAAAAAAAATGAAGTATTCGACTTATGTCAGAACTGACTTACAGAATGGAACCCTATACTAAGTCAGGGATTACCTGTGTCTAGAACTGCTTTAGTCCTTATTCCTAACCTGCTCTTCCCAGTTAGAAGTTTGCATTTGTCTCTACTTATGAGCTTAGGTCTACTCATATTCAGATCTATTCTAGCCACAGCTAAAATCCTTTGTCTCATCATCAGATTCCGTTCTCATTAATGACTTTTTCTGTTGCTCTCATTCTATACCTAGATTCTGACCTCTTTCTGTCCAAATGCATTGACTTGAGTCCCTAGACCTTTGCTGCAGAGTTTTCCACCTGTGTTCCTTATCCCTGATACCTGATCTCCTCAAAGCTAGGTCTTGCCTGTCTGGACCTAATGTAGCCATTTTCTCTTTGAATGCTCTGCCATTACCTCTTCATCATTCTTTCTAGTCTCTTTTTCTGAAACTCGTATCAGAAAAATGTCAGTTTCTCACTCTAGTCTCCATTTGTCTTAATTCTCCTCAAGGTCCCCAACCCCACAGCTCTCTGCATTGTGCTCTGGACATTTTCTCCTATCCTTGTTTTATAGATGCTTTTTTTTTTTTTTTTAAACATCTTTGAATGGGATGAGTTCTTCCTGAATTAGCTATTTGTCAGAGGATTGTGTGAGTGTGGAGACAGGGCCATACTTGAGGCTGTTTTCTTTATGAAACAGTGTATGTGTGAGTTCTTAGAGACCTTACAGTTCCCCTCAGTCAGCACTGCAGGGTAGCTCACAATGCAGAGTCTGTCTCCTCCACTCTCTCACCAACAGACTGCTTCTACAAATATGACTGGTTTGTCCATGTGCAACTTCACATTTTCTATATCTCTGATCTTTGTGACAAATGTGTATGGGGAAGCTCTTGCTTCAGCTAGCTTGCCTGTTCTCAGTGTTTATTCAAAAACTTGTTTGTCTTGTCCCTGAAGATGAGGCACTTTCTTTGGAGAACTGTGTCACTCTAGCTTTGCATAAGCTCTGTAGCCCTAGGCATCCTCTTACATTCCCATTTGACTTTCACTATATTTTGCAGTCCTTCCTCATAGGCTGTAGTCCAGGCTTACAGATGTCTCTAATATCATTGAAAATGAAGTTTGTCTGTTTTTTATTCTCCTTGTAGTTTTGAGTTAAAGAAGGATGAGTTTCTGAGAGTAGGAAAAAAAATCACTGTTTTTATTCCACCATTTAAAAATCAAAGCTTAAATTATTTTTTACACTTTAGCCAACATTTCTGTTTAGAGAAGGGCATGTCTATGTCTGTGTGTGTGTGTGTGTGTGTGTATGTGTATGTGTGTGTGTTTATGTATATGGGGAGGAGATGGAGATATTTCAGTATGTCCTCAATACACCATTACCATATTGACCAGATCCAGTAATGGACATTCATCAGTAATCAGCATGGATGCCTCTCCCCAAAGATTACAAGTTGAACTTCTCTCTAGTACACAAGAATTGGGATTCAAAGTCAATATTAAGCAGTGTTATAGAAAATACTATGTGTGATTCCTTGCACACCTGAATTTTTAGACTAAGATTCATCCCCAATACTTACTAGATGTGTTATTCAGTCTCTGCCATTCCCTTAGTGGATGCTAAAGGACAGGCTTACACACACCTTGTGTCTTCTTCCCCCTCCCCCAAACTGTTGTTAGCTGAGTCAGCCCTACTCATGGCAACCCTATGTATGACAGGATTGAACCATAGGGTTTTCATTGGCTGATTTTTGGAAGTAGATAGCCAGGTCTTCCTAGTCTGTCTTAGTCTGGAAGCTCCACTGAAACATGTTCAGCATTGTACCAAAATGCAAGCCTCCACTAACAGACAAGTGGTGGTTGTACTTGAGCTGCAATGGCCAGGAATTGACCTGGGTCTCCCACATGGAAAGTGAGAATTCTACCACTGAACCACCACTGCCCTCTCCCCCAGACTACAGCTGATTAAAATACAGGTGAGCATCTGACCCATTCCATAAGGTGTCCAACAACCCAAAATGTGGCCTAATGCAAAAAAGATGATTTGGGCAAAGTGATAGACACTCTTCCTAGACACATCCAAACACGTTGAGGGATCGAGTTACTGGGGCTGAGAGCTGAGGACCATTGTCTCAGGGGACATCTGGGTCAATGGGCATAACATAGTTTATAAAGAATATATTCTACATGCTACTTTGGTAAGTAGTGTCTAGGGTCTTAAAAGCTTGCAAGCAGCCATCTAAGATACATCTGTTGGTCCCATCCCATCTGGAGCAAAGGAAGATGAAAAAAACGAAAGACACAAGGAAAATATTAGTCCAAAGGCCTAATGGACCACATGAACCACAGCCTCCATGAGCCTGAGCCTAGAAGAACTAGATGGTGCCTGGCTACCATAATCAACCTCTCTGACAGGGATCACAATAGAGGGTCCTGGACAGAGTACAAGAAAAATGTAAAAAGAAATTCAAATTCACAAAAAAAAAAAGACCAGACTTACTGGTCTGACAGAGACTGGAGGGACCCCCAAGACTACAGCCCCTGGACACCCTGCTAACTGGGAACTGAAGCCACTCCCAAAGTCTACCTTTCAGTGAAAGATCTTTGTTGTTGTTAGGTGCCATCGACTCGGTTCCAACTTATAGCGACCCTATAGGACAGAGTAGAATTGCCCCATAGGGTTTCCAAGGAGCAGCTGGTGGATTTGAACTGCCGACCTTTTGGTTAGCAGCTGAACTCTTAGCCACTATGCCACCTGGGCTCCAGCTAAAGATTAGACAGGCCTATGAAACAAACAACACATGAGGAACGTGCTTCTTAGTGCAATCAAGTATACGACACCAAATGGGCAATGCCTGCCCAAAAGCGAAGATGAGAAGACAGGAAGGAACAGGAAAACTGCACAAACGGACACGGAGAACCCAGGGTAGAAAGGGAAATGGGGAGAGTGCTGACATAAGGTGGGGATTGCAACCAATGTCACAAAACAATTTGCGTATAAATTTTTGAATGAGAAACTAATTTGCACTGTAGACTTTCACCTAAAGCCCAATAAAATTAAAAAAAAAAAAAAGATCATCTGGATAAATCAGAACCTCTTCTGAATTGGAATCTGGAAACAAGGAGAGAATCAGGAAATTGACAGCAGGAGCAAAAGCTTAAACATTGCCACGAGGTAGTTTGGGATGGAGAGTCGTGGCAAGGAGAGTTGTAAGGAAACAAAGTCTAGGAGCTGAAAGTTAAACAGAAGGCAGAAGACATAGAGATTCAGGGTAGAGAGAGTCAGTTAGTTGATAAAGACAGGAACTGTAAACCTACTGCCTTCTAGTCGATTCTGACTCATAGTGACCCTATAGGACATCACTGAACTGGCCCATATGGTTTCTTACAGAAGCAGACTGCCACATCTTTCTCCCGTGGAGCTGCTGGGTTTGAACTGCCAACCCAGCACTTACCCATTGCACCACCAGGGCTCCTTGACAGGAATTGTATAGAGAAATAAATGTGGAGCGCATCTGTGTTACATTAACCACAGCACTGTCTTTTGGTGCTCCCTGCATTCCTATGCTTAGCACAATGCCTTACCATATTGGGGCTCAACATATATGTTGGAGGAATGGATGTTTATCCTCACAGTAAGTGAGCTTACTTCTTTGCTTAAGGTAACTTGTTTGAATTTCTGCTTCTTCTAACAGAATTTTTAACCCCTTGTAATCAACCCTCTACCCTAGCACTCTACTGAAAATGTTTTCTTAAAGCTCACGGTTGAGTTTGCTAAACATGCGTTTCTGACTTATTCTC